CCAATTCTTTGGTGTTTATGTGCATTCATGGCCAGAAATATTTTCCACTCCAGGTCCAAGCTCACCTATAATTAATAATTGCCTACACTATAAAGTCCCATATTAGGTTTCTATGATATAGGAACAAGTAATAGGTTTATTTCATGCTGAAAAAAAGAAGAAAGGAAATGCAATGTTTTGGCTGTGGAGCCTTTTTAGGATGTGCTCACACCTCCTTTCAGCATGGAATAAACCTATTACTTGTTCCTTTGCAGCCTATGCATGCTGACGCAGCTACCCACCTGAACTATTTCTGTGATACAGTCTAATATCCTAAATATTTCTGTCACTGATAAAATTAAAAGGAGTGTTTCCTTAGTAAAGTTCAAACCCTCTGCTTTTTGAATGTAGATTTTCAGGAGGGTGTGGAGTCCTGCATTCTTTGCTTGTGAAACTCAAGCTGTTCTGTTTTGTAGGAGTAAAGTATATGCCATTCCTTAGCTTTGTGGGGGATATGTGATAGAAAGGCAATGCGCTGTGGACAACTTGAATTTGAAATAGTATAGTTAAATACGTTAGGATAAAAGGTGAGTATCTGCTTGACGTTTGGCAGTGTACTTTAATTTACTGTATTGGTTCTGTCTGCTGCTGGTCAGTCTGATCCAGCTGATGGACCTCAGTTTAGTGGAACCTTGTGTTCTGTTTTAATAAGCTGAAAGAGTAGACCTGTCCTGCCTGAACAGGAACTAATTACAAAGCCGTTTGATTTGGCTTCCTAGTTTTATCATTTACCTTCTGGTTTATTCCTTCTCCTTGAACATCATGATCACCACATTCAGTAGGACTGGAAATTACCCGATCGACACGTGCTCTGTTCTTCATAGTGGTAGATTGAAGTGAAAAGTATTCTGAGGTGGGTAAAAACCAGCACTCACTGTGCAGGAAGTTTGAAGTATGAATTGACACTGAAATCTAAACAAGCGGAAGTCTCGCCTAGACTGGTTTTCAGCAGACGTGTGTCAGCATTAATCTCACATGCCCTTGCAGATTTTAGTCGAGGAATTTGGTGGTTAATGAAAACAAAACATCCGTGTAATCAGTAATTCCAGAACAGAATAAGCATTTGCCTGTTAATGAATTGTTTTTTTTTTTCTTTTCTAGTTTCTCACAGTCAGATCACACGACTCTATAGCCGGTTCACCAGCCTGGACAAGGGAGAAAACGGCACTCTGAGGTACTGAACTTGAGAAGAGCTCTGTCATTGCCTGTGGGCTGACTAGTCTCTGTGCATGTTAGCTGAGGATTGTGAAACACGTCATCCTCTTTTGCAACAGGACCTATTGCTGAACTGGATAGAGTGAAACATTTTTTTTGGCCTTGCAACGAACACCACAAAGTAAACAAAGCTTATAACAGTGACTTATTCCAGCCGAATCTCCTTAATACATATTCAAGGCAATGATCCAGGACTGTTTCTGTAATAACGTGAAGATTGAATTTACTCAGAAGGTTAAGTTTACAGTTTTGTCAGTAACTAGTAGCAGACCTGTCCATTAGTCGGTCCTTTGCCCAGGGAAGTGTTCAGGTAAAAGATGCAACAGCAGCAAACCTGCAAATTTCTAATAATACTGTTCATTCAACATTCTACAATAAACTGTTTTAGGTCAGGGTATTTTCATTATTTTATTTAAATTTTGTTAATACAAGGGGTCCAACTCTGATTCAGGTAGGTCAGTAAGTCTGCAGGTCTTCTAGAAGAGCTGGTTTAGGTCATTAAGAGCTGTTCTGGAATGAACTCACCCAGACTTCAAGTATTGAAGATGGGCCACCCTGAATAAGAATTGTATAGACCAGTGCCACTTCAGATCCTCTCCATTAGAGAACTAGCTCGTTAATTATTCACTCGACACTTAGAAGTATCAGTAGAGCATATAATCATCTGGTGGTAAGATGCGAGATCTTCACTTGAACTTGAATATACTCTCGCACCAGAATTCAAATCAGGTTGAGCTTTAACTACACTTCGGCAGATAGGAGTGGTTATTCTAATTGTTATTGACCTGTTGATTGGCGTTGTAAAATAAATTTAATATGACCGTAGTAAAAGTTATAGTGGTGAACATCATAGACTGGAATAATTTGTTTCCATTTCTCTTTTTTGGGCTTTTGAAAAAGGCCGATTTGAACATATTTCAATGTTTTTTTTTTTGCTTTCTGCTTTTTTTTTTGTTGCTTTAAGCATTGCCTGAGGGTGAACTTTCATTGCACAGTGCAATTTAAAAAAAAATAATTTACTCCCAAATCACAGCATATCTGGAAAAAGAATAGTTTGATTTTTTTTTGGACATGGGAACTAGATGAAGAGGACTACAGCGCTTAAACTTTCCTTCCCCCTCATGAATTGAGCTTTGTTTCCTCTAAAGCTGGTTGCCAGCAAATATTTGGTATCTGAACTGGGTGTATGTACCTTTGAACAAAGGAATGGTTGGCTCAGATAACCCGTTGCAGGTGTGGGGTGGTTCCTGCCTTGGCTTTGCTCTCTTCCAGAACCATGCTGCTTCAGAGGCATTTCAGTGATTCATGTGTTTAAAAAGCTTTTCATCCCTATTGAGAAGTGAAGCCACTGTGCACCTTTGAATTGGAAAAAGATGAACAATACAGTATCATCGGTACACTACAGTACATTTGGAAATGTTGATTAATTCATGAAATACATATTGTTGTTAAATCTCAATATGTCGTTGTCGTTGATCTGCAGTTGCAGGCATGCCCCGAAGAACATGGTGCTCTTCCTAGTATTAACCGTTTTTAATTAAGAATTGCAGCTTAATAAATTGTTATTTATAAAAAATGGATTAGCATATGAAAATTTTAAATTGTGATCCAGTCTCTTAATTGGCATTTTTGTGTATATTCTGACACCTGTGACATTAACTTATGCAAAAACTTGTTTGAGCGGTCAAGTACCAGAAAGCAGCCAGTCATATAGGCCCAGAAACACTCTTCCCTCCCACAGGAGCAGAGTATGTCAGTGACTAGTGAGATTATTAATGACACATTTCAGATAGGGGAAGTGTGTCAACACAACAATCTGTTTAGTCATGGAGAGTCCTTTCTTTTTTTCCATTTAGTCCTTTCTTCTGTAAAACTGTTTTTTCCTAAATCCAATATGTATTTTGGAAGATGGGTTGCTTATAATAAGATGTTTTGTTTTGCTGCATACAAAATATCCTAATGAAACACTGTCCTTTTATTTTTTTAAAGCCTTTTGGCACACCCTAAATTGCTTTCTTGATCTGACAAGAGTGATTTTGATTTTGATCTGACAAAACTTTTCCTTTTCAAGTGATAATGGCCAGCTAATTAATAAGAAGTTTATTTTATGTGTGGATTCATTGTCAATTTTAATTTAATTTGTGAATTTTGAACTTCTTCAGCTTGCTTTTTGTTCACAGTGGAAGAGATGTTATTTCAGGTTTAAGGATAAGTAGAAGTACTTCAGTAGAGCATGCATTTTCTGGTGTATATATACTTTGCAACTCTTAATTCATGGCAGCAGTGTTGTTGGCTTTAAAAGTCAGAGAACATTTTAAATTTAGAACAGTTCACATGTTCTAAACAGTTAAAATAAACCAATCAACACAGCACCTTTAGGATAAAAGGCCCTCGTTTGTAACTGCAGTATATGCTCTGCAGAAATGGATGCACTGAAAAGCACAGAGCCTTCTTGTGAAATTGTTGGCTTATTCAAATAACTGTACAGTACCATGACACCTGTGCAAATAAGAACAATGAAATTTGATTTGCATACAAATTGGAAGTCGAAGCTGAAAGACTTGCACTAAATATGTAAAGGATCCAGTATTTTCAGACCACCTACACGTTTATTTCAGAAAGTTACAAAAGCAAAGGAAGGACAGATAATAAAAACTTCAAATTACAATCAAGTAAATTCTTCTCTAGCACAGCTGTAGTTTCTCTGCTTTGGCCAATTAATCTTGTTCTGCGACAGGCTGTTCTTTTGCAATAAAAGGAAAAACATGTTGAACAAATTAAGTGTTGTGCCAGTTTCCATTTATTTTCACAACTTTAGTTCGTGTTGGAGTTTGTGTTTAGCCCCTGTTGCATCCCTGAGTGGTGTTTTTATTTAGCTTTTCTAGTGTCTGAGAGACGATTTTTGAAAAACAAGCTTGTTATGGTGGGATATTCACAAGCCTTTATGAGAGCGTTGTATTGACAGGGTAACACAAGACTCGGCTGGAACCAATTAGCACTAAGCTGCTAAATTACTGATCCTGTTTGTAGTTTAACATGTAGGGAAAGTCCGTGTCTTCTTCTCAGTGACCTATTTCCTGGCATCTTTTGTCTGGGTTTTTTGAGTCTTTGAGGGATTCTTCCCAGGAAGTGGAGACTATGTTGTTGGTTGGTTTTGCAGTACCATCTGAATTTTAAAACATGCCTGATCTGTCAGTGGTGTTTCTCACTAGCATTTACCTGTTCTGGTTTTGTTTGGTCCCGTCTTACCTAAATTGAGGCTTTTGTTTTTATTTTATTTGGTTTAGACCAAGTAACAGCTTATGAATCATGAGTATATGGTCAGAAGAGACTGATGTTTCAAACTTCCTTGTTGAAGTGAAAAGTAATTGCCAACACAGTTAAGGCAAAGTCAACCTGGTTTGAGCTGTAATGTTTACATCATAAGATGTTTGTGGATTACCCCTCTTATGTTCCAAAGAATTTAATGTCCATGAACAGACACGATATATTGACATCAATAATTCACTGTCCCTTATCCTTTTTTCTCAACTTGGAGGACACATACCAGTTTCTACAGTCACATTCTCCCCTATTTAGTTGTAGCAACCCAAAATAGTGTTTTTTTTAAAGAAACTGAGTAGGTACATTCCCATAAATCTCTTTGCCTTCGAACATGGAGCCCTCGTGGAAGGAATTAGACAAATTTCCTGCCAGGGTTAGTCCCTAAATGCTCTCGCACAATGTCACTGTAGAGTGAAAGTTGGGAAATTACTTTAGATTTGCTGTGTGACATTGAATGAATGCATCTTCGTTAGCTGGCCTCTGAGTTTGCTCTGGTGTCACTTTAGGAAGGAATAGTTGTAATCCAAAATAGCTAATTTTCATTAATGGACGCAAATGTGAGCAAACTGCCAGCACCCCAGAGTGGTTGTACTTTGTTGTCAATGTGTTGTTTTCATCAGTTGTGTATTATGGTTTAAATGTCTGCAATGCCACTGCTGTGAAATTTCATGGACAAATTCATTTGATCTGGGAAAGGAAAATAATGCCTCTTAAGTAAATTCTGACGACTGAAATGAAGGACATTTACGAATCAGATCCTGATCTTTCTCTTCTCTTGACAGCCGAGAAGATTTCCAGAGAATACCTGAACTGGCCATAAATCCCCTAGGTGACAGAATTATCAATGCCTTCTTTCCTGAGGGGTAAGATATGATTTTTTCAGATTGAGCTGTGCTGGACTTTCCTTTATGCCTGAAGTTAGAAGAGTCCTCTCAAGTTGTTCTGGCCCAGGTCTTCAAATACGTTTTGGAGTTACCGTAAAGAAATTGTGGATTGCAAAATTATGAAACTCGAAATCTGGATGTCAGAAAATGGGATGTAAAATCATTATCTTTTTAAGAGAGTTCTATGGCATTCCATAACATATTTAGAAAGAGGGATGAAAAAAGTCTATTTTTCCATAAACAATAAAATAAACAGTTCAAAAATTAGCTTAGTAAATCTTCATATGATGACAAAAGAATTTAGCTTTTTTCTTTTCTTTTTTTCTGTCACCACATTGAAAATGGAGGCTTATGGTTTTCATCCGCCTTTTAGTTTTGTGATATAAGCAAATTTTTAATTATTGTTGTTTTTCTATACTTGGGTTTTCCCATCTTAAAAAGATGGTTACACACTAATGACGTTATCTGTATTATTAAATCTAGCGAAATCTGTACGTAGCAACTGTGGTTTTAGGTGTTGTTTTCTGTGCATGTGGTTTTGAGAAGCCATCGTGCAAGTAAATAGTACCCTGCTCTGTATGTTCGTGGCTGTTTGTTTTTCAAAGTATACCCTTCTTCAGGGATTTTCGACACAGCCATGTGTTATTATGAAGAAAGGGTACAATCTTTTCATATTTGTCACAGCTCCAATGTCTATAAATATCATACACCGAACCATGTTAGCTACAGAGTTCATTCCAAGAAAGAGGACACATCGGAAACATGGATTTCATTATTTTCATCAAGTGAACAGTTAAAAATATAAAACGTGACGTTAATAGCTCATTCAGCCAATAGGGACTCATGATTTTCTATACAGAAAATAATTCATTGTTCTGCTCTTAGTTTTAAAACAGCCTTTCTTCCTCCGGAACTTCTCTTGCTATTCTCATCCATGAATTGAATGTTTTTTTTTTAAAAGAGTGCTTTATAATAGTAGTCCCAAATTGACTTTTAAGGTGTGTCAAGTAGTCTGAAATAGACTAAAGTAAATAAACATGAAACGAAATTTATTTAGCACCTATACCTTATGAAAAAGCTTTTGAAAACTCAGAAGCATAATTATTCAACCCTTCATGTGATCTTGCACAAAACAAAATTAATGAAATTGATGGAATGGCGTTCTCTCTTTTGTAATCTTTTAAAATGGCCTCACTGATCTCTGTATGTTCTGTAGGAAATGGTCATCAGACATGGGTGACAAACTCTAGAAGTGCTTAGGTTTAATATGTGCATTTTCCTCATTTAAAAGCTGTTGAATCTTAGGAGTAGGCCGTTATGGCGTCTTCACTAGTGGAAACTGCAGTGTTTTCTCTTTTGCCATTGTATACATTTAGCTGTGACGGTTTGTGTTGCAGTTCAACCCATGTCTTCCTAGTGGGGGAAAAAAGCAGTTTCAGCTTAGTCTGTGATTCATTAGCAGTGTTGTCTACAAGCCATTTCTCGGCAAATCCTGTCTTTTTTTCCAAAGGAAATGTCAATGTGAGTAGTTTTATAATGTCCAGGGAGTTTCATGTCAAAGCATTTTAATATGCCAAAATAAGTCTTGGTTCTATGTTTTGAATGAGCAATAGCCAGTTCTTCAAAGTTTTTTTTTCTAGCTATAAAGAGGTGTGTTGTTGAGAGCACATGTAATGAACATTGGACTGATGCCAGTGTCCCTGACTTGCCTACCACCCAGGGAGGACCAGGTGAATTTCCGTGGCTTCATGCGAACTTTGGCTCACTTCCGTCCCATTGAGGACAACGAGAAGAATAAAGACTCCAACGCCACTGAACCTCTCAACAGCAGAAACAACAAACTGCTCTGTAAGTACTTACAAGAGCACTGTCAAGAACGAGAGCATTTTAGGTTAGGTTGTAAGACCGATCTTAGGAAATAATGCATCCAACTTCATTTCTGTGTTTTTACTATAAAATATGTGAAGACAAACATCTTCACTTTTTCCCCGTTTCCAACACCAAACAATACTTACTGGCAGTTACATCTTTTACAGATTATTGAATTTACACACACTCTAGCAAACGAGTGAGTGTTCAGTAATCATTAAAGAGATGTACTGTACAAAAGTATAGTTTATATTTAGATGTATTCAATATCTATTGAGATATTTATTAACTTTAAATTAGGAAATGACAATACGGGAGAGGGAGAGTCGTTGGCTGTTTTGATTGCAGCAGTAGATAAATGGGTGAACCTCATGTGACAGCAGCTGCTGTGCAGGTTTGAGTTTTTACAGTATAGGTTCTAGTTTTCTCATCACTTTAAAGGAAGTGGGCATCCTAATGGTTTGCTGTACATCCCAATACCTAGCAGATGTTATATTACTTTCTTTCGTCATGCGTAAAGACCCAGAAATAAATCAAGTAGCTTGGGTTAAAGGATCACACCAAGCCCGAACAGCATTCCTCAATGTGTGTCTTTTTTATAGTGTGGTTTGTGGTTTTTAGTTTCTCGCTATTTCTAGACAAAAAAAACCTTCCACTTGGATGATTTTCAATGTGGCCAGAGATGGTGAGACTTTATACATTTAGAATGAGTTCCTCTTTCTTCACCATACACACAATAGCCCTAATTTTACATTTCTTGCAAGTGAGAATATCACATAACCCTTAATTTGTAAATTAATTTGTTTGTTTTTCCTCTTTGTCTCTAGTTGCTTTCCGTCTCTATGACCTGGATAGGGATAACAAGATTTCCAGAGACGAGCTCCTACAGGTATGGGTTACAGTCCTCACTGTTGTGAGTTCACTCTTTCTGAAGGCAGGCTGTAGAGCTCAGTAAAAATTACTGGGCCTTCTACAGAGAAGAAAAATCCTTTTACCCATTTAACACTAACGAAATTCATGATGTACCTAAAGATGGTTGAATCATTTAAGCTCCAGAATTAATAGTTGATCTCAGTTAGTAGATGAGGAGACTGGTTTTAATCCACTTGTTCTAGAAAATTGGATTAAGTAAATCGCGGAATTCTTGGTCATTTAAGACTGCTAACAGATATGTGGGTGTATTTCCAGTTGTGCTGACACTACTGCAGATTTCTTGAATTTAAATGTGAGTCAGCTCTACAGTGCCTTACAATATAGTTGGGCTAAACCAGTTGCGTTGTCTTTCAGACTGGGCTGAGAAAGCTGTGTTCGACCTCAGGATAAGAATAGTTTTGATCACACCCATTGTTCACCCACTGGTCAGGTGTGTAGTGTCAGCATGAGGTTACATCATCAGTAGAGTTAAAAGTACAAAGCCACTGGGATTCCTTTTCAGGCTCTTTGGTAACTTATTGTGTTAGCTAAGACCACCCAACTCTGTTTATCAAAATAACCACATATTATGCTTAAATGTTTTGTTCTAGAAAAGGCCAGAGCTCATACTCTTATACTCAATATCCAAGCTTTAAAGGCCCCAATGTATTGGATTAAACTGGGCAAACTTGTAAAACCTCAAATATCTGATTTTGCTGTTTTTCTAAACATAAGTTTCATCCAAAAGATCTACAGTGGACAGCTACTATAATCATAATTCCATAGTACATTTACAAGAAATGATTTAATAACCCTTGCTTTGTCAAGTCCTCCCTACATGTAACTGTGGTTGAGTGATTTCACTGTTATTCAAGCATCACGTCACTCAAGCCCTATTTTAAATTAATCTTTTCTTCTATCTCAAAATGGCGAGTGAATAAAGATGGTGATGGTTGAATAGCCTCTTATTGTTTGTTGCTATCTTTATTATTTATCTGTTTGTCTGACATGTTTAAGCTGACTGATTGTGTACTTGCTGGAAAAATACTTATGTATGGTTTTATATGTTCATTACAGCAACCTAAGGCACTAATGGACTCTCATAATCGATACTAAGGTCTGTGAGTCATGTTAAAATGAGACGGCTAGAACTTTCATAACAATAGTAGGAGAACTGAAGCTAGTTCTTGAATACTGTCATTTAACCAGGACCTATTTCAAGGCCTGTTGAGTTTTTTTTTTTTTGTGGACTGGCTATTCACCTTGTGTGTAAGGCAAACACAGTGGAGCACTTGTGTAGTTTGCTATGCAACTTAGAGAGGAGTACAGTAATGGTGCCAAGTTAGGGAGTGTGCTTTCTGTGAACTATTTAATTTGCTGTGTCTGCTGTATAGGGTTTTATAATTTTCCTTAAGACATTAGTCGGGAAGATGCTGTCATTAGCTCTTAAAAGCTAGCGCTGGGACAAAGCCATAGATGTGTCATTTATCTGAGGTCATGTGTGTATGGTCACTAGGAATGTGCTGTCACTAGGAATCATCTCCTGGAAATCAATATTTAGCAATCCAGTAGGTGTCAATTACTGTTCTGTGCATTTTCTGCATGCCACACATGCCACAGTTTCCCCCCAAAATTGCTGGTGTCGTTTCTAGGTGCTGCGTATGATGGTTGGCGTCAACATCTCGGATGAGCAGCTGGGCAGCATCGCTGACAGGACGATCCAGGAGGCAGACCAGGACGGGGACAACTCCATCTCCTTCTCAGAGTTCATAAAGGTGAGACGGCACAGTTTCTTTCTGCGGCTAGATCCCCTGACCTGCCTCTTCTCATAAGTTTGACATTGCCGACCACTAAGGCGTTTAGAAATGTGTGGGCATGCATTTGGAACATTTAAAACGCCAAGGTCACTCTGCCTTGTATTTCTATCCAATTTCTGCTATAGCCTCTGCCAATGTTTCCCAAGTAAGTAGATGGCAGTCTGCAGTGAATTTGTTTTAGATTGACTTATGGACAATTTTAACCAAAATAATATTTACCAAAAACAAAGATATATGAAAGTATATAAGATAAGATCACTTTATTGGGCATATACAAGTTCTTGCATTAGGAATTAGTCTTTTCGCATACCCCAGCTTGCTCTCCATAAAACACACAGACAGGGAGAGAAGCTTGGGGTCAGAGTGCAGGGTCAGCCACAGTACACACCCATGGAGCAGCTGGGGTTAAGGGCCTTACTCAGGAGCCCAACGGAGTAGGATTCCTCTGCTGGCTGCGGGATTTGAACCGGCAACCTTCCAGCCACAGCCACAGATCCTTAGCCACAGAGCCACTGCTCCGCCCCATGTCTCATGTATATATACATGTATTCACAGTGGTAAGAAGAAGAAAATTTAACACATTTTCTTCTTCTTTTTTTTTTAAACCCGGTTGTCTTCTGATGCAAACAGTGGTAGTGTTGTAGACTGAACTGAGTGTTGTGGGGTCTTACAGGTACTGGAGAAGGTGGACGTAGAGCAGAAGATGAGCATCAGGTTCCTCCATTAAGAAGCGACATTGACCAGATGACATCATGCCAACTGAAGGATCAATCACATCTGCATTTCTTTAGATATGGACAGTAGTACTCCCTATCACTATATACGCTAGCTGAACCAGAAGGTCATGGGTGTCTGTGACCTTTCTGTCTTGTGCTCTTCTGTGAAACAAAGGGAATTTGTGTGCCTTGGTCATGTGTATGGTTAGTAAGTGATTTCCAAATCTTTTTTTTTTATTTAACAAAGGATTTGAAAGATCCTGAACAGCATGAATGTCATTCCATGTGAACACTGGAAAGCATGTTAAAATGATGTCTTTGAGTACTGTTTCTACACAACTACACTTCATGGATAAAGTATATAATTCATATATAATCTTTCAATGTCCATTTTAATTTTAAAGATTGGTTATTATCTATGTCAGATGTTGATTTCCTGGATTTTATTTGTATCTTTCAATATCAACTGATCTCAGTGGTTCTAAATGACATTTGTAGAATCTCACAGCAGATGTTCCAGTTGTAGGCATTTATTCTGCTAAACATGATCTGATACACTGCACTGTCAGCTCCTCACTTGAGTACACGAAGGCATATTTGAAGTTAGTAAGGGATTAAGGTTATTTAGGTCTAGTGCCATGAAGTCTTTCTTAGTGTTTTTATTGCTTTGATAAACATGGACTTCCGCTCATTATGCTCTGGAAAAGCTAACCGCATCTAGTGGATTGCAAAGGTCAGTCTGACTCGCTGTCACATTCCAGAAAGCCCCATCAGCATCCTAATGCCCAGTGTGTTACCTGAGCATTTGGCAGTACTGCCTGTTTTTTTCTTTCCAAATTTGCTGTTGTCTTAACTCTTCACTAAAAACATTTAGAAGTGCCCATGTACAGTCCCAATTACTTATCAGATGGTCAAGATGATCTGATTTTAGGTTTGTCATAAGTGGCTAAAAATGGTGTTGATGGATCAAAAGGCTGTTGTTGCCTTTTGGTTTGTTGGGCATGGCGTACAGACCAATAAGGCAGAATCACAAAGACTGATGCATAGGTTTTTTTCTCATTCATCGAGTCAGCAGGCTTCAGAAATGAACATAGGTGCGTTTTAGTGTAATTGACAGGACATTGTAACATTTGTCAGTATATACACTATTAATTGCTTAATGGTTTCATTTACTTTTAAAGGGGCCTTAATGTATTTTGGTTTGATTTTGTTGTTTTTGTGTGTATATATTGAAATGATTAAACTGGAAAAATGTAAGTAGATTAATATAAACCTGTTAAATAAAACTATGGGAACTTGTGTAATTACAATTAGGAGCATGCCGCAGCTGCTATTGAATACTTTTCCATTGAAAAGTATTATTTATCAGTTTTGTGAATCACAAATATAGCTCAAATTGTGTGTTACTGTAGAGGTAATATAATCGCACACAACCATAAATTTTCTGAAATGTATAAATTTCAAGCAGTTTAAATGTCACTCAAATAAAACTCCCAAGTGCCATGCTTATTACAGATTCATGGTTTGACTCTCGTGTTGTCTTTTGGAAGAGGTAAAATTGGAGATCTACTATCTGCATAAGATTCTTAAAGCTGTCTTTGCTCTGGATAATTGCTCGGTGTGACCAATTAAAAACCTGTATACCTAAACATTTCTTCAAGGAGGAAAAACCTTTTTAGTTAAGAAAAATAAATCCCCGATTAGCATGTTTTATTTTTCCCCTCCTAAAACGTTTTATGAATTTCCTGAGTTATTTTAAGTACTACTTAAAGTTGGTTGTGGGATGCATGTGGAACACTTCCAAGAGTCAGTACTATGGTCTATAATCCTAAGAAAGCCTTGTTTTATTAGGTAGCTTTTAAACCTCCTTTTCAAAAAGCACTCAGAAACCTCCTTGGGGCTTCCTGTCATTTGCCCCCATGTGGATCTCAGTTTTCTTTAATTAGGCCGATTTTGTTCTCAAACATCAGATTTTCATTGGTTTATTAATTAAATATCAAATGAATTTGTTGGGACAAGCCAGACCATGGCTCGTCATGGTACAATTTCAATTGCTTTGATGCACATGGAATTCAATACAGTCGTACAACCAGTTCAGCAACCACCGGACAGAAAATGATGTGCAAGGCTATTTAAATGTTCTTTTGGTCTTGTTTGCTCTCCGGATCATGATGCCAAGGTGATTTCTCCATAATTCTGAATGTCGCTTCCTTATTTTGTGATTCATTTATTTTCAGACAAAGTGGTTTAAAGTTCATGTACAATGAGGACTTGAAATGTGCCAACCTGCATGACCTATTGTAACATGACACCAGCTACTACATTGCAGTGTACGTGATATACCTAGAAGTATTGTATTATAACAGGGGAAAGATCATTTAAATTGTAGCTGTCCAGAATGCTTTTATGCTGATCATTTATTCTAAATGTTTTTTTTAATAAGTTTTTTAAAAAAATTTGGGAGCAAAGGACAATCAAGCATGCCTTCATTAAGTAGTGTCTTAGTTGTGATTAGTGATTTGTGATAGACTTAGTGATTTGAGAAGATTGAATGATTCCCTGAATGGAAAGGTGACTTTGTGCCTCAAAAGTAATGTCTTTGAATGGTTTGTGCTCCCTGAGCCGAGGTTAGGATTTAACCCTTGGACTCTGGGTGCAATAATGATGATTCAGAAGAAAAAAGCAATTTAAAGAAGCTGTGAAAGACTTGCTAAGAACAGGAAGAATGCATGGAGAAGAAATTCTGGACTTGGGGTGCTGGAATTTGTATGTTCTCCCTGTGATTTAGCGGGTTTCCACCAGGTTTCTCTGACAGTCCCAAAAAATATTGGTAGGTTAATTGGCTTCGGCGAAAACTGGCCCTGGTGTGAGGGTGTGTACGTTTGTGGCTGTGTGTGCCCTGCGTGTCCCCATTAGGGTGTATCCAGGGTTATCCGGGTGTATCCAGTGTATCTGGGTTAGGCTCCAGCTCCACTGTGAACCTGTACCGGCTAAAGTGACAATCGGCAGGTCACATTGCAAGAATAGATTGTTTCACCGATGATTCTGAAGTCTGCTAGGTTTCCTTTGTCAATGTCAGTGTCTTTGAGGATTCTGAATACCTGATTCATAGTCTCCTCTGTTCAGGATTCAGTTATTTTAGCCCACCACTGTAGGACGTTCCTTTAAAACCAGGCATGTATCACGTTGTTCTACTCTGGACTGATACCACAGCAACAGTGTTTTTGTAACACGGCAACTAAAACTGTATGTAATACCGTGTTCTAAATACAGAATTTGTACACTTACATTCTATTGGGGCCTGTAAGAGCACTGTATACGTTTAACTCAACACCCATGGAATCCGGTTCTACAATTTTAACTATCAGAACCTGACTTGCTCGCTTAGTGCTTCCTCACATTTGTGTTCTAGATGAAGAGAATGGATCAGCACACATAGCAGGGTCAGTGTCACTGATCCCTGTAAAACATTTAATTCTTGTACATAGTTAATATCTACAAGCCCACCATTTCCAGTCTTATAATTTTATGTTTCTGCTACCTTTATAAAACATTTACATTTTATATGAAATATCTTCTGACAGTTATTTTCTTGTTCTGAATTTTGTCGGTCTTGTTAAGTTTCCTTGCTGTAGTACTCTTTAAGTGTTAGTTAATCCTCTCATTTGGGTATAATCTGCGAGTGTTTTAACTGCACCAAAAAATGGACCATTATTAGGATAATTACTTTCTAATTATAAATTGGACTGAGCCCAATAGTAATTCGAAAGCTTCGTGTATGCTGTGTGCATGTACAGCATGAATACGTTATTGGTAATTATATAATTTTGTATCCACATTCCTTTAATAGAAACTTTTCGATTATTTTTATGACTGAACTGACCTGTGTGTTTTTATATCTAGATTAAATGTTAAAACGGCTTACTAAACATTTTCGACGTTGACCTTCAATTGTGTATAAGCCAACCGTTTTTTCCCCTTGCTGCATGATACTCATTCACCTTTTTATTAGACCGCAGCCAGCCTGCGAACTGAATTAAAATTCCCTTTTTTGTCTCCAGAATCATTCGTTTTGTAGGATTCCAAGACAATGTCCAATCGCCGTGCAGGGCTGGTAGGGAGGGCGGTGTCCTTTAATGTTATTGCGCCATTTTGTCCAATGGGGGTCACCTAAAGGGTGTTGAGGCGGGATCTTCATCTTGAGTGAGGGGACCGTGGAGCAACGACGAACGAGAAACTGCTCGTCAGCTTGCAGGGCTGGCTCGCCGGCTAAATGCGATGGTGAAATGGCGGAGACGGAGATGTAGAGACCCGGGTTGAGGGGTTCGGCTGCCGGCCAGAGAGGCGGGAAAGGCGCAAGCGAATGCATTTTTATATTTGTACACAGACGTGTGCGATTGGATTCCTTTGGATCGTTTTAGAGGTGAGGAAGGGGACGATAATTGTGCGTTGCACGAGTGTGGGCAAAACCGCGCTTTGTTTATCGGTGTGTGCAGAACTGTGTGGGTCACGTGACGAGAGCGAATGCCAGCACAGCAGAAACATTAATATACCCTTCATCAGTGCGCTGTTTTCATCTGCTGCTCCTACTGTCCATTTCTGTGCTACACAGCTGTTAGAGTCTTCAGATGCATCACCGTGAAACAAAAACAGGATGATGCAGGGCACCAAGAATGTGAGCCCAGATAATTTGCCGTACGGGTAACAATGCCTGGACTTGATCACATTTTCTCAGATTGCAGTTTAGGTTAACGCTATTGCTGCTGAGGAATACTAATTGTACAGCGTGAAATTTTGTTTTTTACCGATGATCACAACATGTATCAGTTGGCTGCGTTACCCGTCGCCCAGAAAGACTTCGGGTGTTTTACAGTTTGCACATTGACTAGCTGGTAAGGGATGCGACTGGTGTGAAGCTCATTGTCTCGATTTTCGCCAGCGGTGCCCTGATTAACCTGTGTCGCAAGACAAGTTAATTTCGGGAAGGACGGCATCAGGTACTGTAATTTCAGTCTTTTATACGGTTATGAAACTGTTGCCTTTGCAGCGGAAAAGCGTGAAGACATTACCGAGGTTTCGTACTTTGTCAGGGATTAACCTATGTTACTGTAAAACACGGGGATTTTTGAAGGGGGTGCGGGGACATTCGTTGCAAATACTGTCTTTTGCGCTAGGTGGAGGTGTTTATTTTTTGTGGCATCAGCAACTTTACTTCGAATTTTAATCTCGTACTTTGGTAATGCTCACTTTACATACTGTTACTTGTGAGCCAAAATTGTTCAAATACGACACCCTTTGCCTTTGGTACTTTGCGACGATTGTATGCCATACATTTATTCTGTTTTACAGAAATGTTCAGTATCGGACAAATATGGGCACCTTCCACCTCTTATTTACTAATGCATTAAGTCTAATAGTTCAAGCTTTAGTTCTCTGACAGTAACATCTCACACTTGTTCAACATAGCAGGTGGTGTTTAACATTTTCAATGCTTTACTCAGTTTAACACACTGGTTGGCATTAATTTAATTCCTATTTCTAGGGGTACATCTCCTGTTGAAGTTTAGATACAAATTATTTCAGACTTAGTGTCTAGGTTTGTGACTTACAATTCTGTGTCTGGTCAGCCCACAGTCTGGGTTTTTTGAGCTGCACTGTCAGTGCCCTGTAGTTTCTCAGGAGGTCGGACTCTCAACGGGCAGGTCAGAGCCAGACTCCCTTCAGGACTTGCTGTCCTCTGTTCAATTCATTTCAGACTTTATTATCCCCCGGAGGAAGTTTGTTTTACAGCACTGCCCAGCACAACAAGACAACAAAAAGAGACACACATTGTCTGCAACACTGCCGTTCTCTGTTCATTGTTGGTATAGATTGGCTTGGCGGCGCAGTGTTTAGCATTGCTGCCTCACAATGCTAGGTCCTGGGGACCTGGGGTGCTGTCTGTGTGGAGTTTGTATGTTCAGCCTGTGTTTGTGTGGGTTTCCACTGGGTGCTCCATTTTCATCACACAGTCCAAAATCCTACTGTTAGGTTAACTGGCCCTCGTGTGAGTGTGTCTGTGTTTATGTCTTTGTGCCCTGTGATGGTTCCGAGCTGCAGTGTCGGCACAGACTTCGGAGCCCAAACGGCCTGTTCAGCAGCCCAGCCCAAGTGTTTATTTTTGCACTCCAGTACTGCCAAGTCTCGTGTCCTCCCCAGGACCTGAGCTCAACCTCTTCAGTACGCAAGAGAACAATACTTCAAGAAACATCTGTTTGTGCTCAATGATGATTTTTTCTCTCCGGGGGGAAATTATTTAAAATATCTCTTTGTGCTAGGCTAACGACGCATGTTTACTATGACAACCTAATCATTAGCTGAGTCAGCTAATTAGCTATGTGCAGCTGGAAGCCACAGAAATAAAATACATTTTCATGTGTTTTTATTACATGCTTGGATGTAAAAAGCTGTCATTTGAGCTTTGTAAGACAGTGAACATTTTGTATTAGTACATCCAGTCAGTTTAGAATGAATTTGCTTAGTGCCCTTGAGGTCTTCCTTCTTGAGGTATGTGAAAATCAATGACCCTGATTAGCAAACGGTTATGTGATGTGCCAACATCGGCGTGTCTCCTGTCTTCCAGGATCTGCTGCCTCCCTTCCTGTGCTGATGAGAGTCAGCCTGCCCCTGTTGTCTGGCCAGCGGTAGGTCATCTGTCTGGGAGAGAAAGCAGGAGGAACAGGCAAGGTGATTACACAAAAAAACAATAGGGAAGGGAAAAACCTGCAGTGTTGTTCGCAGTTCGCCTCCATGTGGTGCTTGGTTGATTTTTTTTTTTAAGAGAAGTGCAGACAGCTGTAGCCCAGGCTCCATCTTACATGAGCACAATTTGAAATTCTAATTTTAACTAATTTCCTGTCCACCGCACTGTGATGGCCATCTTTCTTAATCATGGATCTTATTATGTTTTTGTGATAGCCTTTCACTTGTAATCATTTTCTACTCCTGTTATTATGCCTGTGATTAAACAGGTAAAAGAGTTAACTGATTGCTCTGTTTGACCCTTCGGGTGTAAGGTGCCAAGACGTTTGTAGATGGTATTGTGTTGTACCTCAGGTCCTGCTGGTTCTGCCAATGGATGAGGACTGTTGGGCAGAACCTGGACAGATGACGTCTCCAGACGCTCCGCTGACCGGCCTGCAGCCCTACAGCCTTTTAGGACAGCGGCAGATCCTGAATTTTGCAGAAGTTGGGCGGCCTGTCCTAAGTCCTAAGGCATGACCTCTGGAGCCTCAGGTCTTGGGGAAATGAGAAGGGAGCTTCCAGAGCTCATCCCCAAGGAACAAGGGCTTAGCCTGGGAGGGTGGGCTGGTTCCTTGGGACCTCGGTACCCCGACGAAGAGACCTGGAAGTGTCTCTGATTACAAGATTGAGGGCCATGGTCTCCCCTTTCCTCCTGTGCTCACCATCCTTCACCCCACTCACCTCCAGACGTGGATTAGCAATGTAAGGTTTAGTTAGCTCTGATCACTAGTCCACATTGTATGGCTCTGGTGATCTTACATTGTCTTTCAGGATGCCCATTTCAGAAGTGCTGTTGTTGTGCTGGAAGAATGTTGGGTGGGTTCTTTTTAGATTCAGTCCTGCAATGTAGCACCATCTGTACTCATACAACAGTAGGGGATTAGGAATCGGGAAACGTCTGATTTATAAGGTAAATGGTGGTGCATCCATACCAGATACCCAGTTTACTTTAGTTTACCTCTAGAAGCTGTATGCTAACATTGGTTCTTAGTTTCCCAGTTTTCTGTTTCTTCTCAGTTCAGGACCAGCTATGTTCTTGTGGAAAGCAGAGTGTAAGAGTTTGCCACTACCTCACTGGGGCTACCAGGCTGTTAGCCTAAAATAAAATAAATAATGCCAGGATGCATCTATTCTTTAGTTACAGTAGCAGCTTTGGCAGGATTTTGCAAGAGAGACTAATGTAATTTCTCCATAGAGCAGTCCCAAAGACCATCGTAAAATCTGATGTGGGAAGAACAAAGCAACGTGCACAATTGTGTGCTGTTTTAGGCCCATGGGTGGCTTTTTCTATTTGTAATTACCTTATACTGTAGTGCTAAAACCTAGCTGTATTTCATATTTGACCATTTAAACAGGATTTTTTTTATTGCAAAAGTTTTTGTGCTGAAAAAAGTTGGGAGGGACGTTACTATGGATGCATTGTGAAGGAGTGTTTGAAATGTCTGTGCTGTGCCCTTCCTGAACATCCTGAGGAACATCCCCATTCCTGCCTGCTCCAGTCTGATAGTAAACCTGGTGATCCTGTTGCCTCTGAGCCCAGGCTGAATCGTGAGGCCCAGGCGTAGTGAGCTGGAGTCAGGCAGGTGGCACTAGCTGACCGTGACTGGGAGTTTCCTAGCAATGGTGCACAGTAGGCTGAACACATGCCCGGGGCTGGGGTAGAATTGGTGCAGCAGGCTTGCCACGTGACAAGGAGTAAACAGACATTAGGGAATATTACCAGTTTTGCCTCCAAATTCAGAGGGAAACCTTTCTGTGTACTTGCACACAAGTATTATGTTTGAGGATTGGGGAAATTTGTAAAAGTACCTCAATTAGTTCCTTAGGCGACAGATCCGCAAGGGTAGTTGCGTATTGTTATTCTGACTGTGGTGCTGAACCACCATAAAGCAGGGCAAGTATAGGTTGTGGGATCTTCAAATTGTTCACTGCCTTCCTGAATTTGCTAATAAAAGTTAGTACCCTCTGGCTATGCGATACAAAGGTGTAAAAAAACTACCTAGGTCTTCTTTCTTCTTGGTGAGGGGGACAAGAATTATTTTGGTTCCCTAGCAGAAACTTTGACTTAATTGGATTTCTTCTTTTTTAGATTTTCATTTTATTTGAATACACAAACTAGAGTGAAGGAAAAGAAATGAGGAAAGCCAAAGACTGTCACGGTTGGCACTGCCACCACTCTTCTCCCAGCAGCCCTGTTTGTGTCGAGACATCTGTGGTTCCCTGATTTAAGCTGTGATCTCCTGCTCTCAGGCGCGTGTGCACACACAACCCAGTGGCTAACAAAGCCCGCAGAAGTAGGCATACAGTCCAGCCCTCCCTCACCTTCCCCTGACATATCCCCTAAATATATGGGCATGTGCAATAATGTTTTTTTTTTGTTATAAATATATATAATTGTGAAACAAGTGACAAGTTGTTTGAGAACAACAAAATCACCAACGTCTTCCATTATAAGATGTATAGTTTCATGCACATTAGCTTAATAGCAAAACAGTAGTGCCATTTTAGTGGCCATGCATGAAGTTAGCGATGCTTGCAAAAATATATCAATTAAAAATTAAGCAGCTCCGCTCTGACTGAACAAGTTACTGACCAGGATGAGGCATCCCTTTCTTACGGCAAGCTGAGATCAGACTTAGAGTCCGCGGCGTGTGAGTCCGAGCTGGCTTGTGCGATTGGTTGCGACGCTGCGGTGTTCCGTCGTCTCGGATGTGCAGCGTTCGGCTGCTCGCTCGGACAGCGGCGAAAACGACCCTGGTTTGGGGAAGGAAGTACGGAAGCCAAAGATGTGTGAGAATCGTCGAGGCAGAGCTGTTACTGCCAGCGGTATTGCTCCTTCGTGAGGAAGCAGTCCGGTTCAGACTGTTGCTCTCCAGAGCCAGCGCGGTTCAAGGGTCCGGAGTGTAGCGTTCACCACTAAGGTGGCCGAGACACTTCTGGTGGGAGACTGGGGTAAACAGTCACAGTCAAAAAAGTTTATCTGAAGCGCAGCACCCTTGAGCTGAATTACCCCTGAAAGGGAGCTTTAGAGCCCTAAGTGTGTGGTCTGGTGAATAGCAGAAGGCACATGTTGTAGCTGAGATAGAAGAGAACGGGTAACTAGCAGTAAAGACGATGCCCAACGTTTTGCTGAAATAATTTTTCTTAATTGTGCTTTTCTCTAAGTTTTTAGTCTCAGTCTGGGGTAGCGAAGGATGCATCATCTGGGCTAGCAGATTACATTATATGCAATGAACAGATCTAGCCTTAGGTGTATAATACTAACACATCAGTTTTAGTATTAGGAAGTAGAGTAGTGCTTAGCTGAAATATTATTTTTTAGTGTAAAATAAATACCTCAAGGTTTGGAATTCAGAACATCTTGTAGGAATATCCTGTTGTCAACAAAGCCATAATATTTACTATTAGAATTTTAGAAGCAATAATCCTGTTATGCATGATTTAGTACTAGAGTGGTGTTCTAGGCGTTTCTGTAGACTGGCTAGAGTAAGTTATCAAACTAGTTGTGGTAGAAGTGCTTGTAGGCACAGAATAAGTATGCCTAGCTAGAGGTCTGAATAATCAGGTTTCTGGGAAAGTTACTTCATTTTATTGTTCTTTTAAATGAGGTAAATTTCATACCATATTTAGTCAGACCTTTTACATGCTTTGCAAATCGATTCAAAATCGATCCGTAGATCAAATGAAAGCAAATGAAATGAAATTTGCAGATGCAAATGAAACTAAATCGCAAAATGCAATTCTCATTTTTATTTTTGATGGGTGATAAATGCAAAATCAATTAGCAGAGGCTTTAAAAGTGTCCTCTAGGTTATGTACAGTATTGTACTCTATATACATTTCCCTTTATTTGTAGATGTAATAGAGAAAAAAAAAAGATTACTTAAAAACAGTATGCTGTATGTCTGAATTGAAATTCCTTTTTTGTGATCTAGACAGCTTTAAAACAGTGCGGTGGAGACTGCTTTGTATAATGTTTTAAACAGATGCCAAGTAATTTAGGTTTAACTGTGTGGCTGACCAGCTTTGGACATTAAACAACCCCTTCAATGAGAGGCTGTGTGTCTAGGAGGTGCAAGTCATAAGGTGACTGATCATCCTGGTTGGCAAATATAATTGGTTCAGTAAACCAGCCAAGTAGCTGTACCATTACCCTCAAAAGTAGGAGCCTCAAACCCACTTCTTGGAGATACTGGTCTCTGGAATTTGTTCCTACTGGAGTAGTTAATTAAATAACCTATTTTCCAAATTACTACAAATTACAGTCTTCTTCAGTTGATTACACAAGATATTCACTCCAGTAAAAGGTAGTTAGATATAATCGGCTCAGAGTCTGGTTTGTAGTATTACAGTTCTGTGTCTAATTAATAAATAGATCAAGTGTGTAACACAACATGGTTGGAACAACTGTCATAAGATATTAGCACTTCTGAGAAGTAAGAGAGTACTGATAATTAAAGATGTTTTTGTGACAATTCAATTTTTCTTTTTCATCTGACCTTGATGTGAAGACCTGCAGTCATTTCTGGTGTAGCACCTGTGCTATACAGGGCTGTTTTTCACTGCAGGATAAGCAGTAAGATTCTCAGTACTTGCAGTTAAAAATTGTGGTGACACCTATGACCATTTAATTTTATGGAAAAAGTTAAATAAAGGGTTTCTTATATTTTTATGCAGATCACTTCAAGACCATTATAATGGGAACTTTTGGAGAAGCTTTACCTTAAAGGATGTATTTGTGCTTGCTGCCACCATAAAACATGCATTCAGCTAATCTTTGAAGGGGTTTCAGATTACCTGGGTTAATTTTCTGAAGGGGTGTTTGGCGAGTAGTAATTTAGGTAGCAAGGAAAACAATCCTGTTTCTTTATGCATGGTTTTATATATATATATAATGTATCAGACTAGTAAAACATATATGCATCTTAATCCATTTGAAAGCAATAGGAAATATTGTAATAGCAAACTTTTGCTTCACTAAGGAATCAAGTCTGACACAAAACTGTATATTTATCTCTCTGCTGATATGAGCTCAGTATCACACTGCACTGTGGAGTTGGGCAAGTTGCTGAAGTGTGTTGTGATTGGTTTTGAGCTGAAGACAGAGAGCAGTTGGAAGTAGCACCTTGTGGGACTGAGGGGTAGGATGGCATTGCACTTCAGTCACCGGTTTTGATGTCTTGTCTCCCATGTCTTCATTATTACTATTAAGGGGTTAAAAGATGGGCAAGTGTTTTTTCAATCATCCACTAGTGTTGCACAGGGATTCTGGTCTGTGCATGGAAATCGCAGTAGGGTGTGTATATATAGTAATGCATGTAATTATGAGTCTAGTAGACTGTTGTGTTCAGTGTACAGGACCGAAGTGGTCATTATTAATGCACTAGTCTGACATAGAAAGAGCATGTGTAAGTTCCTGACATAGGAAGAGTCCACTTCACTAAGACCTTGAATATGAGCTAAAGACTGGCCCTGTGCATCTGAAAGCCTAGTTCAGCAGTAAATATAGATTAAGTTGTACACTATTGCACCAAATAACATCTATTCATTTTTACCAGGGTTACTCAGTCCTTCCAGGACGGCTCAAATGTTTTCAACCTCCCCATCTTTGTAAGAGCAATGCTGTTTTAACCGACATGAGCCAGTGGGATAAAAGGATGTGCTGTAAGTTGAAAGAACTTAGTGGAGAGCAGACAGAAAATATTAAGAGGGGAGGAGGCATTGCACATGGCAGAACTCCCCTCCACCAAGCTTGCACATGAGTGGGTAGTAGAGGCAAAGTATTAACTAATGCTGCTACCATTGAAACCTCCACAACTGACAAAGGCAACTGACAAACCCTCTTACAAGCTGCCATTCACAGACATCCTTCCAGTACCATTTAGACAGAGTACTCCCCAGAGAAGCAAATGCACATAACACTGAGCAGAATGCTGTACCACGTTGCCACAAATCTGGGTGAGTACGCCATATGTGAATCGGGAACTGATCAGCACTTGGCATACAAATCTGTATTCCTAATCCTATTTTCACCTGCTAAAATGAATTAAGGAAGATAAACTCCTTCCCTGAGCAGTTTCAACAGAATTTCAAGATTAGGACCCCCATTCAGAATGTTTGAATGCTATATATAGGAAAATGTTTATGCGGGGTCCTTCATGATGTGTAAAATGTAGGAACTTGATGCAATTCCAAACTGAGTGTTACCTTGAAATTTGTTGTCTTTTGACAGGTCTTTGAAAGGGTAGCTGTGATTAAATGTAACATATGGCAGTGTCTAATGTACATTTTTAAAACTGTTGCATTTCAACATTCCTGTACTGAAGAGGTTTGGATTAAACTATGCACTATAGAATGAAAGCAGAGAAAACTGGCTATAACAGGCATTTGTTGGTTTTGTAAAACTGCAAACTCTGCATCAAAACTTCAGCAATAAAAGCAGCATGGTGCCAACGGCATAATACATGGGCTGTGTTCATTGAGACAGCTGAACCTTGCTCCTTTGAGCCACAATCCTCTTAGGGTTTGCTTAGAGAAATGGCAAAACTGTCAATCTTAAATAAGTGTCTAGAAGCATCCACGTACACAACAGCAGTGCTTTCTCCTCTTCCCATCTCCCTGTGAGCAGCAGTCACTCTCCATGTCCCCTGTGGATGGCTAGGTAGCTCTGTGGGGGATCAGATAGAAACTACACAGTGATAAGGCCATCAAGTGTTTGCAATATGCATTTTAATACAAAAAATGTGACAATTCCACCTCGCAGTTGACCTCAGAAGTTACATGTGTGTAACAAAAGTAAACTGAACAAGTCAGTGGGGAGCCCTGTCAAATGACATTGGAACATTTCCCCACAATAACTGAAGCAACTAGAAAAACAAAACTCATTCAGTAGATCTTCTCACTCCTTTAGCTCTCATGCTGACAGAGCTAACTTCCCCTGTGATGTGACTAGACGGTAGATCCTCTTTTCACCCAGCAACGAGCCGAACCCTGGTAACCCTCCATGGTGTCCATGGAACTTAACCTGCCCTCACATGGTACGTGCCGAGCAGGGCTCACAGCAGTGGAACACCACAAAGTGCCCTTCCAACATTCCTCAATGACCATGGGGACATTTACCTGGTTTGCAAAAGACTGGCAAGTCAGAGACAAAAGTAACAATTTCCCCATATGAAAGGAGTACAACATACAACACAAGTGGGTTTGCTAAATTGGATCCCTTCTCTTAGTAGCCTTAAGACCTGAATCTTGTTTGTACACTGTGGGTAGAAAAAAAACCCAAAATGTGAAGTTAATGCAATTAACATGTTCCACAGGTGTACTTAAATGTATTTGTAGTCCTTGCAGTGCTTCAGACTCATGACTCACAAGTACTTTCTAAATAGGCCTTTTTTTTTTGGATTGGCCCAGGTATCCAATATCCACGGCTTGGGTCAGCATCCCCCTCCGGCCTCCTAAGGCACTTTCTTCAAAGCCCTGGATAGTTTCTCCTCAACCACCATCAGGCGATGGTTGATGGCAAGAAGCCGCTTCTTTAACTGCACATGAAAAGAGGGAAAAATTGATTAATAAAGACCCACAAAATGGGCAACGGTCTGTATTCAAAGCCACTTAACAGTTTCATCCTGAATCCATTGAAAAAGCGTTTTACTGGTATTATTTCTATGGTTTAACAACTAGGAAGATGTTCTGACAGACTGGAGCAGTTTCCCCAGTCCCCAATCCTGGATTACCCCTGCTCTTCCAATCATGAGTCTGAATACATAATGAGGCACATTAAACCATTACATAGACTGGTTCTCTCTACTCGGGTTTTACAATAAAAAGCCAACTTGGTTTAAAATGGATGCTCCCAGAATTCACCTATGGAAAGACCCAAACATCGCTTAGCTGGATATTCCTTTGGCAAATACAGGCACAGGTAGGAATGAAACCGCTTGACATTCTCATAAATGTTCCCAGCATTGCAAACTCGCTTTGGCAAAATATTACCAACAAAACAAGAAGCCTTGCATTGAGTAGAGGAGTTTGAATTGCAGCATCCAGCACAGCATTCATGCTAGCTTGTAACCTATCCTGCTACTTTACAGGCATTTAAAATGCACTCAAGTGCTCCATAAGCCAAATTAAAGTCCTTATCTGCAATTTTTACTGTACCCTTAGTAAAGGTAAACCATCAACCCTCATCCCTGTATGTCAGGTTTTGAATGCACATATTTACCAAGCAATATTAATTCTTGAGACATCCTACCTGCGAGATATCCTCGCCCAACATTATGTTGTTAAAGCACACATTGACAGCCGTCACCATTGTGCTGGATTTCAAAACATAACTGTAAGAAGAAAAGTAAGACCATTATAAAGGAACACATTCAGGCAAGTTAAATAGTTCAGATCATTGGAATAAAAAGTACTGTACATTCAGGTCTGTAGCCACAACAATATAAGGAGCTCAAGAGAAACGGAAGGAAAAATCTGAAGGTACACATTAACCCACCTTCAGACATGAAGACATTAGACATCCACCTGTTCTCCTGTGCATGGGCTCTGTTATACAGTGAAGAGTTCACGAGTTTCAGTGAAGGCTAAAATGTACATTAAGGACGATTTTTGTCTTTTGTATTGCTTACTTCATAATTCTATGTAGCACTGCAAGATGCTGCTGCAGGAATAACATCAGAGCAGAAACACTCAAGGATAATGAGATGCTATCCAGGGGTGCCTGATTCAAAACCATTTGATTTTTTTAGCTCCATTACAGATTAAAATGATCATATAAATCCTTACACTCGCGCTTTACAGGCAATGGAGTGTTGGGTAAAAACAAGCTTGAGAAATGCACTAGACTGAAGTCCGCCTTCAGCAGCGGGAGATGAAGACGATCTGACACATGACAAGCGCTGATGGGCGGCAGGCGGCTCTTTGAGGGGAGCATACTGACCAGACGATCCTCTCCTTCTGCAAGAGGAAGAGACCCCGGAGCTCCGAGAGCTTCGGGGGGGACGAATACAGCACCAGTCCCACGACCCCGCGGCAGCCAGCACAGCGGAGGCCGTAATAAGCGCTACAGCGGGGAAAGAGCACCGTTTCAGCCCCGAAACATCAGCTTGAACAAGACTGCTCTCCACCCTCATGAAGAGGGCCGTTTCATGAAACTGGATCCTAGAACAAGCATCGCACACACACAGTACGTTATCAAGCAATAATAATACGGTGATTTGTCTGCTTGTATCTCTGGTACTGTCTTTTCCCTGAACATTAGGCAACACTAATGCCCTTTGCCAGAATATGTACATATTTTCTGCAAATATGCGACAATTAGATCCCTAAACACACAAGAACATTACACTACATATTTCTAAGTAAAAAAAAAAATCTAATGCCAGTAACTTTACAGAAAACAGTAGGCTAACTGCATACACCCTTAAGCTTCACCTACTACGCTGAACACAAAAAGCATCGTGTACTTACCAGCCAGTCAGCCAATCTTGAAGCCCGAATTCAAGGTTATCGTTCACCATCACGTTGTTTGTTACTCCTGATTTGAAATACAAATGAAGACGTTACAGCAAAGACTCCAAAACCACCATATTTAGTTCCTTCCAAACCTTATGTGCGGTATTTATGGGACACATCCCGTCTGCATAAGATATTACAATGATGTTCCTGCTGTTTGCACATGACGGGTCCTCCTGTTCACTGCACGACCAAGGTCCAACTCGGGCTGAGGAAAGCTCTAGAAACGCCGCACACACGTGGCAGCCCGTCACGCGTCCAGCACCAGATTCCGGCGACCCAGTGCCCGCGCCGCCGGCCGTCGAGAGGGCAGCACAGCGCAGCAGCGCTCCGGTACTCACGCAGAGAGATGATACAGCTGAGGCGCTCCACTTCGCCGCACACGGCCAGGGAATCGCCCAGCACCCGGCAGCAGCTGGCGCAGTGCAGGACCACCACCTCCACCCACTCGACCTGCTGGGCGCCGGAGAGCTCTTCCTCCTCGTCGTCGTCGTCTTCCTCTTCCTCTCGGGGGCTGTGGACCGTCGTGTCCGGTGCAACCATAGAATCCTCACCTACGACGTAAGTGTTATTCACTGCGGCCACGCCAGCGTCACCGTCTTCGATCTGAAAGGTCTCGTTGGTTCTAGCAAGGTGCTCCCTTTCTCCCAAAGTTTCATCGACATTGAACGAAACGTCTCCTGGCACGGGAGTTATATGAAAACTGGAGACATCACAAGTCTCTGTAGATTCTACTACACCAAATAGCTTTTTACGAGCCTTCTTATTCAGCTTTGTCGCCATGCTTCAAACTCTTGTTTTCTCCCTTTTCCCGCGTACCAAGCACAACACCTCTACCACCTGCTATTAATAAACAAACTGAGACACCCGATTGGTCCAGATCAATCACACTTTAGGTCCTCCAATCACCATCACGAAGGATTTCTTGTTCTGAATTACGATTGGTTAATAGGGAAGGTTCCGCGATGATACCCGCCTCCTCTCAAAAGAGCGTGAGTGATTGGGCGAAAGTGGGTTTGTCTCTTGTGCTTCAAAGCCAATGGCAGAGCTTGACGCGCAGGTTTGAATTTGTGTTTGCAACGGTTGGGCGGGCGAGTTCGATCAGAGGCAGAAGCAAGGAGAAGAGACAGTTAAAATTGTGCAGGCATAACCGTGTAATAAATCCCCAAACTGGATAATCGAAATGGATTTGGATTCAATGAAATACGCGGAGCTGCAGCGGCTGGCGAAGGATGTTGGTCTGAAAGCCAATATGAAGGTGAGTACGACACTTTTTGAGATCCAAGCCATTTGTGTGTTGAACCGTCTCGGCGGGCTGCGGATTGTGTGATCTCGTTTGCTAAAGAGCTGTTGCAGACTGTTGTGTGCGTTTGTATATTAATTATAAACTCACATTTTGTAAATAAAAAAAACGAAATAAAAATACCCGATACTGTATCAGTATCGATTCAGAGCACAGATCATTCTCGTGTACAAGAAAAAGGATTATAATCAATATTTATCACTAATCAATCTTTAATCTGCGATGTACTTTTATTCTGAAACAGCAGTGCATTCATTGCAAATTATGAATCTTCCAGGTTGGCTGCTCATATTTTTGCACGATCTTTTACAATCTCGGTGGTGTTTCTTACATTAAGCCTTTCGATTAGACACGCCTTACTACACATTTCTGCATATTTGTATTTTGTATAATAGTTTTAGTTGGTCGTGATAGTTCTGGATTAATTGAACAGTCGGTACTACCGAGAGCATGTACCGAAAGTGTTTTAAAGGAGCGCTTCTTTTAAATACGTTTCTCACTCGTTCAGTGCTTCAGGAGACTGAAAAAGTCTCGAAGTCCCGAGCGATGTGAAGGCAGTAGTTTCC